TTTAACACTAATCATCTATTATTCTCGCCTTGAATGTGTGGTTTAGTTAAACAAATAGCCTAATACACAAGCACATAATATGAATATGCACATGTGTTAGCTGCATACTTTTAAGTATTTTTCAAAAACCTATACTTAACATTTTCAAATATATTTCGCCATTGTTTTAAATTTTTATGTAATATGCCTTGCGAAGAGAACCTCAACTGAAATCCTGAAAATTGATATAATACATATAAATTAAATTAATTCAGTAGCTATATGGATAAAACACTATGTTTTGTGTTGTTGTATTAATATTTGTTTGTTATAAGAATAATTTATCAATTCACTGTTACTTTTCATTTGTTCAAACCCCCTCTTTAACGAAATTTAATACAATTATTCTAAAAATAATTTATTTCAATATCTTGATGTTGCACCTAAATTTTACCTGCAATTCTCTATGTGAAAAGTACATATTATAATATAATAATTTACTGGCTCAATTTAAATTAATTCCTGATTTTTAATAGGTTTTGGGTTATAAAGTTGTTGCCAGTTCATCTACGCTATAAAGCAGATTATAATGAGTACGTGGACTATGACAAAAGAATTTTCTGAACCTGACCCAACTAAATGTGGAGAATCAAAGCACGAGTAGCGATAAGTCATTGCATATAAGTAAGAAATCTTTGAGTTTGGGAACTCTTAAGAATGGAGCCAAGTCTGACTCAACCTGCACCAGTAATATCATTACCAGTTGTTCCTTCAGATGACACTTTTTATTACATAGCCGTGAAAGGCTCCTTGCATGCTAGCGATTGTAATATATTTGGATTGTCCAAAGATGAACATCAGGCAATCTGCGATCGATTTCTTTGTTCATCAATGGAAGTAGTAAATGGATCTATAATTAAAGGACATTGTATTGCAGTGATTAATGCTTTAGCTGAATTAGGGTATCGTGTTGTTTCTACTACTGGTGAAGCTGAAGTCGTTTGGACATTGCAAAGAGAACTCTAGCTTGTGATTCTGCACAGTGTGTTTTGCATATTCTGTAAAGAATTAAAACTAATAATTTAAATAAAAATATCTAACCTTTATATATATATATATTATGTATTAATTAATCCAGAAGTATTCTAAAGCCAGTACTAATAAAGTCGCATAATCATGAAAATGGATGTTGCTACAAGCAACAACCGCCGCACAATCATTGGATGAAATGGATTTTGAACGTGGTATATGGAATGCTGGTGAGTCAACTTTATATAAATATAATTATACGTGGCCCATTTTGACCTCAAAGTTTTTGAAATTTTAGGGTGAATGAATTATTCCAGCATATACAGTTTTCACATATTTTAAATGTTTAACTATGTGGATTATATTATTTAGATAAAACGCAAAATTTGAAACCATTTAATTTATGTTGCCTTATTTAATTTTAATTTATAATATTGAAACATTTGTAGTTAAAAATGTTAAGAAATTTATTTTTTAGCATTGTATAATGATTTGGATCGAGTAAAAGTGCTGTTAAGACATACCTCGCCAAACATAATAGATAAGTCAGGTTATACAGCACTGCATTACGCAGCTCGGAGTGGTCATTTACTTGTCTGCCAAATTCTTTTAAGTAATGGTGCTGATGTAGATGCTAAAACAAAAGCTGGAGGAGTGACACCTTTAATGAGGGCTGTTACAGCCGGTAAAAATAAATAATTAATATTATGCTTTGAAAAAATTCTTGTAATCAATTTTTAATACTATTATTGGAATATGTTAGACACAAATATTTAAATAGAAAAGGTCATTGTAGTCTTAGATTTTAAAAATTAATATTTTGAGAGGCTACTGATCGAATATTAAATAACTGAACATATTTGAGATATTTGAAGTTATTGCGGTAGTCTGGTACATGCAAATGTTAAATTGAAATAAATATCACTATTATACTTACTTCATTTAATAATGGATTTTTTAAAGATGAGCTTCACATTCTTTCATATCTATTTCATGTATAAATGTTACAAAAGCATATATTGTATATGGTTTTAACTAATTAATTTTTGTCTAATGGATTCCATTATAAAGAGCTTTCCATTATAAAAAGTTTTCATGTGAATATTAAATTTTTCATAAGCAAAATTAATGAATTTAATAACATTACATTCAAAGGGCATGAAGACGTAGTTAAAATGTTAATTGACCATGGAGCAGATCTTTCAATTATGGACAATGATGGTAACAATTCTATTCATAGAGCTGTGCTGAGTGGCCAAATTTCTATTGCTACAATTTTGTTGCATAAAAGACCAGACCTCCAAAACATGAAAAATGGGAAAAATTTATCACTAACAGAGATTGCTCTTAATAAAGGAATAATTTTACCTTCTTGAAAAAAGAAAACGAGAAAATTAAGTTAAATCTATGTATAAAAAGTACAAAATTATTCAACACAATTATTGTCTTATACATCTATTTGATATTTTTAATAACTTGTTCAACAGATATCCTATTTTTATTATAGATCTAGTTTTTAGTATCAACATTTCATGTAACAATGTGGGTGTTACTATTTACAATTTCAAAGTTTGACCAATGTAATGTAATTATAGACTTGTATGCTAATTTCATAAAAATAAACATTTAACGATATGTTTTGTTTATTAAATTTAATTATACAAAATAAGTATTTACCTGAAGCAAGTCAATTTAATTAGGACCCAAGATCATTCACTTGCTTTGAACTTTCTAAACTCTTCGAGAATTTTGTCTCCAAGAAGTTCAATAGTTGATTTAAAAATTGTTTTACAGAAACTACTTAAACACATTTGAAATTCTGTGTTATTACAGGTCACATGTGCATAAAGTTGTCTTTGTTACTATGATACTTTATAGTTACAATTGCATGAGGAATATCTTTGGAAAAACCATGTGTTTCATGTATATCTCTTATAAAACGTAAATTTGACAATTGAAATTCATCACTATTATCACATGTGGTGTTTAGCATTGTAGCAAAATAAGTTTTAGAATTACCTGTAATCATCTCAGATTCATTCTTACCTAGACCTTTTTGAGTTTTAGTTATATTTGGTGTATCCATAGAACTATCTAGTCGAATCTGTGTTGTCACACAAGAACTAACAGAAACCGTGTCATCATCACTATCACTAATTGTAATACAATCAAAAGAGGTATTGAGGTGCATTATATTTTCAGGTTTATCATTGATCGTAGATAAATGGCTTTGTCTTTTATAGGCTTATTCGAATAGTTGTTCTCTTTATCATTCTTTTCCATTCGGTACTTCTAAGTATTGAACTTTTATTTGAGAAGTGAGTTTTGTTGATAAGCAATGAGAATAGTTTCCATAGTTTTTTTCTCCATTGTATGCTATTCTCTTTCTCTTCTTGCTGAATATTATTTTTCTAACACAGCTACTATAACCAACCAATTTTGTTCTTTTATAACATTTCTTTCTGGCATCTGAATAATTTTTGAAAAAGGTGTTTTAAATTTTTACCACACAGCATTTATTCAAACTGTTATTTATATATCAATTAGAACTTCGAAAATTACTAATTGTTGACATGCGGACATACTCAATAAACAAACAAAGTTAAGATATTAATAGCTTTAACATCAATAACTCTAATAATTATATAACTGGTTACAACCTCAATTATATACCTGGTTTCAGATTTCCTAACGCCTTGTTTTCAGCATAATCCAGATCAACCAAATTGGGATCTAAAATAATTCATTTCTTTAAATAAGTATTTATAAATGCCAGTCTGCAGAAAGTTCATGCATTATATGCTAAAACAAATATAGAAGAAATGACAACCTTAGACATAAATAAATTTGAACAATTCTTAAATTTAGGCATGTAAGTGAATTATACATGTTTCAATAAGTAATGTAGATTCCATGCAGTATAAAATTATTATGTAAATATCACTTGAAAATATATTTTAACTTCCCGAAGGAGAGTTTATGTTTTCATAAAAAAAATCCGAATTGCTAATTTTATGTTTTCTCGACGTTTCAAGCCATTCTGAATCGAATGAGACCAAATTTGGAAAAAGTATGTGTGTGTGTGTGTGTGTGTGTGAACAGATTTTTTGCCGTAAATCGACGTTTTCTCTCAAAAACTGCTGATCATCGTGCTGATTAGTTTTTGGTAGAGATCGGCCGGGCCGTTTTCTTGTAATAAAGTTTTTAAAAAAAACATTTCGACGATTTTTATGATTATTTTTTTGACGGTAGATACCATAGTCTTCTAGATCATACTAAAATATTACGGCCCTACGACAACTGGTTTAGCTTTAAAAATTCGTCAAAGTTTGCAAAAATTAGTATGGTCTTTTTGGCATTTGTCAAAATTAGAACTTTCATCGACGTTTGCTTAAAAACGCCTGAACAGATATTTAAAAAGCATTTGATGTATCTCGATGAGGATTATCGTTCCTCAGTTTCGTGCGACGATCGGCCAAGCCGTTTCTTTGTAATTTGGAAAAAGTGTTAAACCTTTCGTCCACATTTAAGCTCATACTACCGAACCTATAATACCGAAAGATATTAGTTGGGAATGATACTGATTAGTTTTAGGTGAAAATAACAACTATTAAAAAAAAAATTTAGGCCGGTTTTTATGGAACTTTTTTTGGCGATATATGTCATGGTCTTATAGATCTTACTGAATTATTACGGCCTTACGACAAGTAGTTTAATTTTAAATTCATCAAAGTTTGAGAAAATGAGTAGTTTTTTTGACGCTTGTTAAAATTAAAATTAGACGATTTAGTTGGTATAACGATAGTGTACTTGGTCTTGAACATAGTGAACCATTAAAGTCCTACGGAAACTGGTTCAATTATAATTATTGATTTTGAAAATTTGCTTTTAGAAAATACTTAGAAGATAAATACGTAAAGTGTTTGTTCGTTTGTTTGCAATGATGTGTATAAATCCATTCGAATACTTATAATCACTCATAGATTAATTTATTTTTATCGGTTAAGGCAATTATTTACACATATCGGGAAGTTCATGTAACTTGCCTCAAGGCTAAATACCAAACCAACTAGTTTATATTATATTAATCATCTAATTCAGAAAATCATATTTATAACATGTTATACAAAATACATATATCTACAACTACATCAATGATATATAATTTAGATCAGAAGTGTAAGTTTGGTTTCACATTTTCAATTTGATGTACACGGGGAAAAAGGTCATACTAAAACGAAGTAAAGCTGAGTATTAAAACGGAATAAAAAGGTAATGTCAAAATTAACAAAATGAACTTTACCACAATGGTAGTAAGAATAATTAGGAGCTCTGACTAGGTTCCTCAACATCATTCGTTTCCAAACAGATTTTCGTTTTTCTTCTACATCCTTTCTTTGTTTTAACATTAACTCCAAATCTTGTGTATCACGTAAACGATTCCTAAACAAAATTAAATATATCGGTAAAAAACAGAGATAACAATATCACTGTTTGGAATTACCTTAGATTTCGAAGCATATTTGCACTTGATGTAAATATTCACGTAATTCTTCTATTAAAAATAAACTGCAAACAAGTTTTTCATAGCTAAATATAATATATAAACGCACAAATAATTTAAAACTAGTCATATAATTAAAAACTTGGAATAACTAAAATATGGTTTAATAAATCAATTAAAACCAAACAGGTTATAACCGACACTCATATTACACAAATGACATTTATGCATTGGACAACATATTGTATGAACTATGAACCAGAACATAACCTTAAAGAATGTAGCCAATGTTGAAAACAAAAACGTTGTGATTCAAAATCAACTAACTTTTACCAACTAATTTTGGCTACTAACAATATGTTATTTACTTTTATAAAAACGAATATCAACTACGTGTAATCAATATTAATATGGCATTTAGCAACTATTAAAATTCTCATGAAGAAATTTTCAAATGCTTGTTGCAAATATTATATACTCTTCTTTTCGGTTTTCCTTTGCACTAATAACAAAACAACGGAATTTCGAATTGATATCTTTGAAACAAACAATGTAATCTGTAACCGTCTTCCTAAACAATATTAGATATGATATATTCATATTCTAATATTGACTGTCTTAATAAGTGTACATTACATAAACGTTCAATGAAAATATTAAACTAGTGGTGTATGGCATGCCTTAAGGCAAATTGCTGGAAATTTCCGTACCGTAATGAAATATTCGAGTTTTCAAATATACTATTACGAATACTGTAACTTTCATTATTTTTGCTATATCTGAGCAAATCAAATGTAAATCATAAATATATTACAAAAATATTTTATGGAAAATAAAAAAAAGATGTAATAATTTTTTATCCTCAAAAGCAATAGTTTTGTCAATACAAGCAGAAGGTTTTTTAGATCATTCAAATTTCAGTTTCAGTTTCAGCAGAAAGTTCACCCAAAAACTGCCACTATTGCACTGTACCTTCAAAATAGCGGGACCTGTCTTTGCCAAAAACTAATCACCTCTTTCCCAATCATTGCAAATTGAATGTTTTTTAGATCATTCAAAACCGATACTCCGTTCTCTCAAAAACTCGATTTGTATTCTCTGCACTCTTTGCTCCGTAACTCCGTAATGACTGGACCTGCCTTTGCTAAAACTAATCAGCACATCTCCCTATCAATAGGGATCGAATGTTTTTTAAACCATTCAAATCGGTTTGCGCCCGAAAATGTGGACGAAAAAATGCGGACATACAAAACAGACACACACACACATACATCCATTATTTTATGAGGTATGCCAAAATGTTCAGAAACTTTCAAAACGTGAAGATATGCAAAAATTTACATTTTTGATTTACAGCCTATTACTATGTCTACCCTACGGGAAGTTAATAAACATTTACAGTAAATGTTTATTAACTTAGTAAAATGATTTACTAAATTTTACTAAATAAAATTCACTTTTGCAGGATAAAGCCCGGCCGACTAATCAAACGGCCAAAACTAATCAGCACGATTACTAACTGATCTTTATAAAACAGCTTTCGTTTTTCCACATCGGTTTAGGATTCCATACGAAAATTTTGACCAAAAAATTAGAACTTAAATGCTAATTAAGAAATGCAAAACTAATTTAGCTCGAGCCGTATCGAGTTTCATTAATTAAGTTTTTGAAATTGGTGCAGGCAGTTCAGAGAAAACATTGACGAAAGGTCCTGTTAAGCTCACATGTACGTACTCACAAGTTTTTGCTTTTTTTTTATTCAACAATATATTTACAACTATCTACATAGACATTAAGTAAATCTTTTGGCAATTATATATAAAAAATGACATCGATATATAAATAGTAAAAAATACACAGTTGCATTTTTCCTTTATAAGAAGTAATGTAATGTGACACGAGTAATTACAAGCTAATTAAATCACTAAATAGTTTTCTTTTGAGTCTTCGTGTTGTGTTTGTAGATAGCAGTACGTTGGCCAACTCGTTTGGGTGTTCTTCGAGTCTGTTTTTGTGGTTAACAGCAAATCTTTTAACTTCCTCGGCTACAGTGCGCATATGTGTGTCATCATGGATCAACCAGGTGGGAGTATATTTTGGGGCGCCTAGAGCAATCCTAAGAACTTTGTTCTGAAACCTTCGAATGATGTTAGCATTACTTTTAGATGTGGTGCCCCAAAGTGCTATGCCATATGTCCAAATCGGCTTAAGTACAACTTTGCATACCAATCGTTTATTGTGTACAGAAAGATGGGATCTCCTACCCATTAAACAATATAGTTCTCGCAACTTTTCCTCAAGCTGATGCCTTTTCTTTTTCATGTAAATTTTCCAATTCAGTTTGCGGTCCAGATGCATGCCCAGATACTTTACGTGTTCGACCTGAGGAACTTCTATTTCATTCACAGTTACAGGTGGACATGCCTCGTGTTTGAGTGTAAAAGTGATGTGGGATGATTTCTGGCCATTGATCTCTAGCCTCCACAGTTTGTACCATTGATCTAATTATGTTAAGTGACGTTGAAGTTTCTCTGAAGCAGTTGTGGAATTTTCATGTTTTGAAAGAATGCAGATAGCATCAGCAAATGAGGCCATGTCTGTGTCGGGTGATGTGGGAATCAGGGGCGTAACTACCGCCGTATCAGCCGTATCAAAAATACGGGGCTCCCGAGCCAGGGGAGCCCCCAACGAGCGCAAGCAGAAAACAAAACAACAATTTCCCAAAAAATTGAATAATTTTAACGTAGTTTGCATTTCCTGTTGTTATCCAGTGGTAATGAACTTAAATTGTAAGCTAACGCTTTAAAAGAATTTATTATTTCTGCTATAATATTTCTGCAATCTCAAGCAATCAATTCAATTAGTAAACTTTCGAGCATCCGGTAAGTTAATACTCTTGTCCTCAAATCTATAAAACTAATCCAGTTTATACATTCTTCGTCGAAAATTGCAATTTGGAATTTTTATAGTTATATATTTATAACATTTTTATATTTGTTTTTGTTACTACTTAAATTTTTTGCACGACGCGTAAGTTTAATAGTTAGATTTTAATAAATATAATCAATTAAATGATTTTCAGATTTTTTTGTTTGCTGTTTCTAATTATTAATTTCATTTCTGAAACTTTACAACATGTCAGTAATGACTTACAAAAAATAGTATTTTATTACGTAATCTTTTGGATAGACTGTGCGAATTAAGATATGAAAAATAATTAAATTAGTTTGCTAAAGAAGTCAAAATAATTTGCAAAAAGATGGTTTGCAATAACTATTTTAAAGAACAAAAGACAAAAAATAATGAAGCGTTATTATGACGAGTTATCAAATGTTATTATGATGAGTTATTCCTCCCAAGATGAAAGAATTTTAGACCCGAAATCTTATTTTAATGTATACTATTGCTGTTTGGATATATTAATTTCACCAACCAAACGAAGATTTCAAAACCTTTGCGACGTAAATAGTAACATTTGTTTTTTTTTAAATAGTAACATTTGTTTTTTAAAAATCGAAAGCTAATAATTTATATCCGAGATGCATTTCTTCATCACAAATTGGCCATGAAATAGATATCGAGAATGCTTTTGTAGAGAAAACATCATAGACTTATACCACATTTAGTTTTAACTGAAGATACAATTCCTACTTACATAATATATTCCATGAAATATTTAGTGAAAGAACTTATGAAGACTTTGTAAAGGATACTTCGATGATTTTTATTTCGAGTTTAATTTTAAATTTGCATTTCTCTTATCATTTATCAAATTGTATATTTTTCCATTTGCCATGAAAATGTTGATCAATATGTCATATGTACTTACATTATTTTATAAAAATTGTGAATTATTATTTATTACTTTGTGGATTTGCTAATGTTAAAATTGTGTACATATGCCGAAAAAATAAACATACCATATAAATGTGCTTTTTCTTTTATTTCCCGGATAGTATTTATATATATATATATATATATATATATATATATATATATATCTTATATATAAAAATGGAGCTCTCTTTCAAATGTCCGAATAAAACTCGAAAACGGCTGAATCGATTTGGCCAGTCTTAGTCTTGAAAAATTCGTGCCAATCCAGAGAATGTCCAAAAGGTGAGAAATTATTTCAAATCCGCGTAGAAACTTTACATTTATAATTTGAAAATTTTTGTAGAAGCGTAATTTAAATAGAACAATGGACGGTGGCAATTTCGTGAAATGTCAAACGCTTTTGACAGATGATGTTCAATTACGTTTAATAGGATGTTTTACGCGAATATTATTTATTTGTGATAAATTTGTAGTAAGTAGTTTTGTTTGTAGTTTTATTTATATACAAAAACGTTAGTAAACGGGCCCCAAGTGTTACTAGAGACTCAAGATATAAACTTTTTCGATATGTTAATATGAAAATGCATTTTTGGCATATTTTTCTCAAACACGGTGCTCTGAAAGATCTTATTTGTATAATTATATGCTCATTGGTATTTATAAAACATTTTCTAGGTTGTTATATTATTTTTTGTTTATGTTATTTAAATTCAGAACCTAAACTTGGTATCGATCAAATGGACCTTTTGTCGAATAACATTTTTCCAGTTATAATTTTCCAGAATTTATCGCAGAATAGATAGTAATATATGAAGGTCCGGGGTTAAAAAAGCCAACCACCGATTTGTCAAAAATCAGTAAAGTTAAGCATTGTTTAACAACAATATTTGAAAGTAGAGGAAAAAAGATTTATAGCCAGCTACAAGCTTGATTTGAAAACGGTAATCTTTTCCAGTTATAATTTTCCAGAATTTATCGCAGAATAGATAATAATATATGATGGTCCGGGGTTAAAAAGGCCAACCACCGATTTGTCAAAAATCAGTAAAGTTAAGCATTGTTTAACAACAATATTTGAAAGTACAGGAAAAAAGATTTATAGCCAGCTACAAGCTTGATTTGAAAACGGTAATCTTTGAAATGGGGGAGATAAACGGTAATCTTTGAGAATCCATAATAAAAGTATTTTCTTCCGTTGGTAGTTTTTAAGCATTAGTTAAAAATGTAATTATTTTGTAAAATACCTTTAAAACTATAATA